CACCTACATGTACACTCTAATTTTTTGTTCTACTGGTTTCAATGGAATTGACACTTGCGCAATGGACGGACAGCTGCATCACTTACCGTATCTATACACCCTCCATAGCCCGTCAAATGCATGCTTGTAACTACAGACAGACAAACAGACACTTTGTATCATGAAGCACAGCTGAATGACTGTGAAATAAGAAATTGCTCAATACACGGCTGCAGTTAATTGGACTGGTTCATTGACCGTGGCCATGCCCTTGTGACCACGCCCCGTTTACATGATCAATACTGATCACGCCTCATTTGATTTTTTAACAGAAGGTATGCCTGTGACAAACCATTCATTGCAACAACATTCACTGCATGGCCGAGCCACATCCCACGAGGTCAAATTTGCAGCTATCGCGCCCTCTTGGACTACATGTATTTACATGTACCCTGTACTGACGAAAGCCACATCTCTCATGGGACAATAAAATGCAGTCATGCCCAATATGCCATTTGCAGCGGCTGCTGTCAAACAACGCTGGGCTGAACAAAGTTATTTAACTGAGGCAGGAATCAAACCAGTCATCTCCTAAATGCCATACAGGTGTTTGAACAAACCAAGGCCAAGTCAAATTAATTGGCTACAACTGGCCCATAACACACAGAAGTGTCTACTCATCTTTGCCAGAGATTTCTTTTGCCATGGCATAGCCATGGAAGTCACCAGGATTTTTTCCAAGGGGGACAAAGCACTACTTCCCCTGGGGGTGTAAATGTTCAGGGTCAAGGGGGGGGATGGGGCAATGCACTCGTCAGTAATGAACTGATAAACCATTAACATTAGAACAGGGTAAATTTCAATGTTTTTCTGAGCAAATTGATTCTTATGATCCCTTTTCAGCTCTTCTTCTTTTTTTCGTTTCTTTTTTCCCCCTCAATTTCCCCATTTTTATTTTGCAATGTTTTCCGGAGGGGGAGGGAAGGAAGGAAAGGGCCAAGCACCTCCTTCACCCACTCCCCCGAGACGCACATGGCAAATGCATTCTTTCCAGTTGTACCCAGTAATTCAATCACAGCCTGGCTCTCCGGCACCTCTTGACAATATGTGTCCGTTTTCAGATACATGTCTTTGTTTGGTTCTGTCCCTTTCTGGAGACCGACCAAGAGTTCAATAATCTCAGTCACAAGAGCACTGGGGAACGGAAGTTTGAATCCGACTTCAGTCAAATTTTTGTTCATTGAATTCCTGAACTGAAAACTGCCTGTGATACTTTACTTCCTTCTTTTGTCAGCTGCTAGCTTGATGTCATTCTGCATCCTGACATTGATCATGTCTGCAGGTGCACCCACCAGACCACCACAAGCTCCTGTTTTATAAATACAATTTATAAAAAAAAGTTGAGTTTTTGGTATCTCATCATGCTTGGTCAAAACTAGAGCGGCAAAGCCGCCATGGCTCGCTCCTTCTTGTGAATTTGAATTTCTTTCCTGTAATAACAGCTATCTATGTTAAGAGACAAGCAAGTTATACAGATATGGTTACTTAATTGAACAAGAAAATACTAACCAAGCTTCATCAAGATTTTTTACAAGATTGGTTGACATACATGGGCATGTACAATAACAATACAGAGATACAAGATGTTTTATCGACCCTAGTGATAAATCCATTATACTCTAGGAGAAAAAACCTAGCAAGTGCTGTGGGCAGACTGTGTATTGGAAGGGGCCTGTCATTTAAAAGAAGTATTCAGGTGGACCATGGGCGGAGCAATGAGCCAGAGTTGAGATCCAGATGTTACCAATCATTGTGGATGGCAGCCTGCCAAATTCTCTGGTCAATCAGCTGACAGGGTTTATTGGGTTAGTGCGAGTGAACTGACCAGCAGCCAGCTTTGCCCAGGCTTTCTCCCATGCTTTGCCAGACACTTTCATCGCAGCTTCGAACAATTAAGCCACATGGATATTATCTTATCTCCACCTCCACCTCCTCTCCTCTCCAGGAATCCCCTATAGCTGGCTTTTTTGTGTATTTTTGTGACATGGCACTTTTTGATATGGAATAAGAATAGAACAATTGTTTGTTAAACTAGATAAGCGGTGCATTTGTGTGTTTGATGGATGGTGCATTTCATTAAAATTCTTCTCAAGTACAATTTTGCACGATGCATCCAACCCCATAATCCCATCCTCTACAAGTCTACCCTCCTCATCATCCCATATTTACCATGTCTACATGTATTTTGACTCCACCCCTAATACCATCTATCTGCAATCCAGCATCCACCTTATCTTTCCATCCATCTCCTGCTCCACCCCTCCATCATCCTATCCATCTCCTACTCTGCCCCCTCCCCATCATCCCATCCATCTCCTACTCTGCCCCCTCCCCATCATCCTATCCATCTC